CCGTCCTTTGGTTAGCGAATGGATATCACGCCTACGCCATAAGTGACGCAGGTTGGCAAAAGACAATCGAGCTTTCTGTATCCGAGCTGAGATTTCGTCAGTCACCAGACCGTCAGCACTGATGAGACTCCCCAGATAAGTGAAGTGATCTACACGCTCGACTACTTCACTCCCTATCACTAGTTCAGGTGCCGATGCAATCCAGTCTTGAAGCAACATTTTGCATTTCGACGGGGAAAACCGCATCCCAAACATGCTCGCATTGTTGCTTATGGTAGTCAGAAGACTCTGCATTTTGTCAGCGTCTTCACCGAATAGAACTATGTCATCGGCATATTCTAGATCAGTAAGCGACTTTCCCGGTAGAAGGTCAACCCCTGAAAAATCTGACGAGCTTAATGTTAACTCTAAGAGGATGTCTACGACAAAGTTGAACAAGAATGGAGAGAGTGGACAGCCCTGACGGACACCGCTTGATGTAGAGAATCCAGATGACAGTTCGCCATATGCTCTCACCCGACCAGTGGTGTTCGAGTAGAGTGCTTGTATAAGGTTAATGTACTTCTTTGGTACGCCTTTCAATGACAGACACTGCCACAGAACCTCACGATCCACTGAGTCGAATGCCGCCTTAAGGTCCAGGAACACGACTATTTTCGGACGTCTAAATGTGTGTCTGTGTTCCAGGACCTGTCGTAGTGTGAAGATGTGGTCTATACAGCCACGTCCGGGTCTGAAACCAGCCTGGTTTTCTCGAGTCTGCTCCTCGCGAGCTCTAGTTAGACGTCTAAGTATAATCGAGGCTAACAATTTAGAAACTATGTTAGTTAAACTTATTCCCCTGTGATTGTCACAAGAGGACTTCTGTCCTTTCTTGTAGATTGGGACAATAAGCGACTGAGACCAGTCAGATGGGATTACGTCCATTTCCCAGATTCTACCTAGGATCTCGGTCAGTTTAACCGTTAAAACTGGACCACCATCCTTAAACATCTCAGGGGTAAGCCTATCAGGACCTGCCGCTCTACCTCTCCTTAGATTTCCTATAGCTTTCTCAACTTCATGTAAACTGGGAGGACTTAAATCGATTCGCCATTCAGGATGACTGGAGATCGTGGGCAACCGAAGAGTGGCTGAAGGCCAGTTGAACTGATCCCTAAAGTGTTCTGCCCATCGGTCCAGCCTCCTAGATTGAGAATGGATAATAAGACCATCCTTTTCCGAGATAGTCTCACTCACATTCGGGTTCCTAATACCGGTTTCTTTGATAAGGCGGAAAAGTTGTCTAGTGTTGCCTATCGCCGCTGCCTTTTCCATCGCTTTTGCTTTCGCCACCCACCACTGTTCACGGTCGTTACGTAGGCTTTTTATAAGTTTGCACCTAAGCTGACTACGCTCTTCATCATGTTCAGAGTCAGGTGGGATACGTTTTCGAGCATCTATCAGTTCGGTGGATGCGACTGAAATCCACTGCTTCATCCTAGCATTGTGGTTTACCTTGCTAGCAGATACCATTGCTGTTTCCACAGCCTTCTTGATATGATTCCAACCTGCCTCCGGATGGGAATCACTTGCATGGCCGCCTAACTGTCTTTCTAGTTCCTCCTGAAATATTTTCTTAGCTTGATTATCATCAAGTAAAGCCCTAAGAGGCTTCCTTACGGTGTCTTTCCTACGTCCAGCAAGCCTCAAACAAATACGTGCTCGCACTAGGGCATGATCCGAATCTAAACATGTGCCCCAGAACGAGCGACAGTCCTCTATCGAACCCCTCCATCGGTGGCTGATGGCGATATGATCTAGTTGTGTCCAACGTTGAGACGACTTCGGGGGTCGCCAGGTCAAAAGATGTTTTTCCTTATGCTTAAAATTAGTGTTTGCTAGAAATAGTTGGTTATCTGAGCACAGTTGCAACAGACGGTCACCATTGTCTGTTCTTTGAGCCGCGAGACCGTAACATCCACCTAGGTGTCTTTCATTTTCACTTAGTCTACCTACTTGTGCATTGAAGTCACCAGCCATTATAACTATATCAGAGCGCTTAACTTTTTGGAGGAGGTCCGAAAGCTTTCTGTGAAACTCATCTTTTACATCATCTGGGCTGCAGTCAGTGGGGGCGTAGGCTGATATGACGAAGAGGCAACGGCGAGTGTCCCTATCTTTCCGAGTCCTTACTGTCCCGTTCAGTCGGACGGCGCACAAGCGACTATCTACAGGGATCCAGTCAAGGAGAGATTGTTCTGCCCTACGACTCAATGCTATACCTACACCGGCGAGGCCCCTAGAAGCAGCATCAGGGCTACCGGATACACGAAGGGTAAATCGAGCTGCTTCTTTATCTTGACATGGTGAGGTCAAGTGAATGATGCTACTCGGATCCTGTATGCGCGTTTCCGAGACGCAGCACACATCGATGGAACGAGATTCTAAAGTCCTAGCTAATGATGCCTGTTGCCCTATTTGACACAATGTCCGTACATTGAATGCTCCAACATGTAGTTTGGAACGGGGTTTAAGGAGACCAGGAACGACGTTTCGCAAACTCGCATCGTTTGCATTAGCTGTGCACTGTGATGAATGAATGTGAGAAGAGTTAGTCGTGGAGATAAGAGAGGTATTAGGGGGTGTAGGAAGGATTTGATTTTGAACAATTTGGTCTCGTGTGCTGTTACGGGTATGAGGGCGGTTATCACTTCCCGGCTGCCCACACCGTGGAAGGTTGTTTCTTGAGAAACCTGAAAAGGAAGATAGATTAGTGTTGGTGCGTGACCGCAGAGTCCAAGGGACAACTGCTTGAGGCCGGTCACGCACGGCCTTTTTATGAGAGGTATTTAGAGGATTAGCTCCGTTCTTAAAGGCCCTTAGTGGGCACCCTTACCCAAGGAGACGGAAATCCGTGAGTTAGGGGAGGTGTGACATTTTTAGGGCCGACCTTTTCTAACCCTTCCTTCCTTGTGAGAAGGCAGCATCGCTGCAGATGCTGGTTGTCCGAGGGAAACACCTTACTGCTGTCACACCCCTCTGCAGTCAGCAGTACGACTTCGCCCTCAGACCTTGGGTAGCTGCTTTTAGTCTCATCGTTCTCCAATCGACCTGCCTGGCATGGTAGGACCTGCAGGAACATGTGTTCCAGCCAGTATAGCTCGGTTGGGTCATCACGATAGGCAAGCCCGACCACCACGTCAAGGTAGCAGCTTCGGTCGGGACATGCAAACATTAAGTGTTGGGGATGTTAGATCCCCAGAAATCACTTGATAAATATCTTTATTTTGGATTTATTTCATGGACTGATCGCTTGACCTTAAGATCATAATTCCCACCAGGAAAATCCTTGGTTGTGACTGGTTACTGAGTCATTTTAATGTGTTATTTCTGTGACTGTCCCAAGGACGTCTCTATAGAGTCGAAAATAAACGCAATTTGAGTGCTCGGTTGCATTGTGTGTGCTGGCTGGGTGTTTGTAGAATACAATTTCTACACTATATCAAGACTTCTTGCTGATTAGATTTGCTCAAGAGATCACAGTAGTCTACCTAGACACTGGTTCATTGTTTTTTTCTCGTTATTCATCTAAGGTGAACTCGTAATAGTTTTAAGCATACCTAGATACGAGCGTAACATTATTAAGATGAGAAACAACAGGAAAGCGAAGTCGAGGTGAGTGTACTAACTCAATTCGATAAAATATAACTAGGCTAACGAGATGATGAATAGAGTAGGCAGTACATTCGAATAACGCTTAAAATAGTCCCTGTCATAAGCAAATGACTGCAGTTGTTCATCAAACTGATTTTTATTATCTGTGTTGCTATTATTGTTTAATACAGAGTACCAATGGATATTCATGAGATTCCCATTATATAAGTGTCTGTCGTGCTTTTTCAGACATCAGCGCAACCACATATCTGTATGTTCAATGCATCTCTATTGCTTAGCCCGTAAAATGGACCGTCCAGTCTCATATATTCATTGTGTGGACGACCTATCATGCAATAGGAATAATTTTTGCTATCTAGCTGTCAGAAAACTCATCGATTTCGTGATTTCCAAAAAATTTCGGCATTCATCATGAGGTGTCATCAGCCAGTTAGTTACAAACTAGACATTCTTGTTAATGTCTAACTTTGACCAATCTAATGTTTTTCGCGACGTCACCTATTGACTTCCATAGTTACTGCCTACACCTGACACGGTTGAACTCAATCGGCCACATCTTCCCACTTGAACTCTAAGAATTTCCTGACGAATCTATTCACTAGTGGGCACATTGTACACTGTCGAAGCTAATGTGTGAGGTGGCATAAAATCCTTAGATGGATCAAAGTTACACATTAACACTGTTGAATAATGACTCAGTGACCAACAGGTCGAGCGCTCGTGATCAAGATCGAAGGTTCTGGATTCGATTACTGCGAATAGCAGGAGTCGTGGATGCGCACTTCCACTAATGAGTTACATACCAGGGTAAAACAGCCGTCTAGTGCTTCCAGGTTTCTAATGGTGCTCTGTTTACCAATGATTGATTGATGATTTCAAATGTGTAAAAACACTAATCTCTATAACTCTAATTGAAAATATCGTAAAATGTGGCTCACTAGTGATTAGCTTCGTGAGGAAATTCTCGGAGTCCTAGGGTGAGAAGACATGACCAGAGGAGTTCAACCCTGTCAGGTGTAGGCAGTAACTACCGAACACAAACCAGTGAAGTGACGCCATATCCCTAGATCAATCAGAGTTAGACATTAACACCGTTGGATGCCGGCCCAGTGGTCCAGAGGTTAAGCGTTCGCTCAAAATACCGAATGTTCCGGCTTCGAATCCTGCGAGGTGCAGGAGTGGTGGATCTGCACTGCTGATGAGTTCCATACCAGCGTGAAACGGCCGTCCAGTGGTGGTCCAACAATGACCCATTCAGTCTATTGCTTACTCTTATCCTCTATTTTAGTCATGTAACGTGTGTATATCTTGTTTTTATTAACATGACCGACTTTCATGTGTATAAACAGTACAGTACACATCATTCAAGTACCCGAATCCAAATGAGGATAGTGTCAACTCAGTCATCATCATTTAAACAAAGGCATCATCTATCCAACGAAAAAAAAAACACATTTATAAATACAGAAATAATCAAATGATTTATACAACATATTGATCAAGAAGAGACAAGAACACAAGCAGAGAAAATATACATACATACATACAACTAACTGTCCAATATAGTCGGGTAGTGTGGTGTGTGCTACTTATACGAACAATATAAGTAGTATAAGAAGGGGGACGTGAAGGAAGAAGAAATCGCACGGTCAGAAGAGGAAAAACGGAAAGCAAATGGAGCAAGAAGTAAATGGAGTAGTACCAACAGGAAGTAACAACAGGAATGGAAGAAGAAGAAGGATGGAGCATTGGAAGTCACGCGACTCAAAGATGTTGGTGTGCAAATAGAGTGGTGTTGTTCAATGTAATTTTTTTTCGTTTTTAATTGACTCAAAATGAAAAATAAAAACCTCCGCTTAGAGCTCCGCCTCCACTACTACTACTACAGCTACTGTCAATCATCCCCAAGCCCCAGGGCAATAGATAGGGGAGAGGAGGATTGAGCGTAATTGGATGTAGGATCTGATCTTGTGGAAAAGAAAAGTTGATAATAATAATCATCATCATCATCATATAACTAATTCTCAACGAATATCTTGTGCAGATAAAAGACGATAGAATAATTCACGTATTGATAAACATTTAATAGGGAATATTGGTTTATGTAAAATATGATTCTGTTGATACATTTCATTGAAATCAATTCTAGTTACCTTAGAAAAAGAAAAGAACAGAACAGAAAATGAAACATGAAACACACAATGTTATTACAGTATTAAAGATTCCCATTGTAATAAAATTAGAATAACACAATATATAAGCGAACAGTATGATTGTTTTCGATTAGATCGTCATCAGACTGCTTTACTCTTTAATATATGCATGAATATTTATGTTTTTGAAAACTGTTAAACCAATCAAGGCAATCTGTGAGTCAATCATCACAATGAAATGAAATAGAGATTACGTCACCAACGAATGAGTGAACATCTCCCAGCATGGTTTATGAAGGGTCAGTCAAAAATAATACGCAGTTCAATCTTAGCACACCTGGTTGTGATAGTGGTCCTATTGTAGATAAATCTAGATCTTTTCGAGTGATCTATCTCGTATACCTCCATCATCATTTCCCAACGGAGTTCGATCCCGTCTCCTACAACACATAGCAGCAGCCATTAGGAATACGTACATTCAACCGCAATTTATGTGTTCAGAAGAAATTCGTGACACCGCTATCCCCTTCCTTGGCCGGATATGACGTAACTAACGATTAAGATTATATTTTTTATTTATACACATTTGCTTATTAGGTAATGATTTTGATGTTTTTAATGATTATTTGAAGTCTATTCATCCACCTTTGACCTACTATTGATAAAACTTTACTTATCATATTTTATGATTTTCTTACTAATATCAGTACACCTGTCTTCCTACTATCCACTGGAGTTTTTGCCTATTATATGTAGTTACGTAACCGTTTTTCATTTCATTGTGATTATCACCTTGATTGATTTAACATTTTCATATAAATATTCATGTATATTAGAGAGTAAAGCAGCCCGATGACGATCTATTCGTAAACAATATTGTTCGCTTATATGTGTTGTTCTAATTTTATTACAATATAATGTCGAATTTCACAGTGCAGTGTTAGTAATCATGATGATATTTTGAAATGAATGGTCGGTTATTTTGGGTTCGGAGCCCTGAAGTGAACATCAACTCTGTGGCGCAGGTATGCCCGCTGATATGCTCAAGACTATGACTAGTTCACTTTACTCAGTGATGCGATAGGCCACACTAACTAGACGAAGAAGTCTTGGATAAAACGTAGAGAGAATGTATATTCCACAGACATCCAGGAAGTAAAGAGTACACAAGCACACAACTCAAGTTTATTTATACAATTGATAAAACGACTTTGGTGAGAGCCGCCACAAAGTAGCGTACTAAAATAATTCATCAACCAATGACAGTCAAGGATTTGCCAAGTAAGAGGTGCAGGATGAAGGTCAAAAAATAACCGTCTTTGGTGCGAAAATCAGTTTTTGGGGATCTAACGTCCCGGGCAGTATTAAATAGTACAAAATGCGCATATCAGCGTCTGGTCTGCTTGTATATAAACTACATCCGTCCGTATAGAATAAAACAATATAATGGAGGCTGATTCTAACTTTTGTCTATTTATTCTTTACGGCCATTTCGTTCTGGCATGGGATTCATCAGCAGCGCACATCAACAAGTACCACAACCCGCGGAATTCGGATCCAGGAGCTTCGGTTTTGCACGCGTACGCCTAATCTCTGGACCAGTGAACCAGAACAAAGAGGCCGTCCAGTGCTTCCAGGATTCTAATAGTGGTTTAGCATTGATTGATCCTTGATTTCAAAAAAGTAAATCAACAATCTCCACACCCCTATCATTCAAATTATCATGTGCTCACTAGTGAGTGACTAGCTCCATGATGAAGTTTCTCGGAGTTTTAGTAAGAAGTTGTGACCAGTGAATTTCAACCGTGTTTGGCTATGAAGCATCGTTCACCGAAGGCAATGGATGAGATTGCACAAGACCATCGGATTGATCGAAGATAGGCATTAAACACCTCGGTGATCCAGAGGTTAGGCGTTCGCACTCAAGACCGATTACAATTTCGATACAATTGTTACATTTCTATTTAAAGTTCACAATTCTCTAGATTCGCTTTGTCATGCCTATCTCTTTTGATGGCCAAAATTCAGAATCCGCCACTCCTACACACACATATATTTCTTTCATATATTTCAGACAAGCGTGTAGGTTATATAAAATCTACACACAAATTAATCAACACAATAAGAATCTGTATGTTTATGAAATGTGTGTAGTTCTCTTTTTCTATCTAAAAAATTTCTAATTTCATTTGTGAGACAGTTATTTTCATTCGTCTTCTTTGATCAAAATTTCAAAGCGGTATCTTAATTGGCACTGATTCACTCTGAAGGTCACCAACATCATCATCAGCATAGCATATAATTACAGTTAGCGGTGAGTAGTTTGGTAATTTAACGACAACTAATTAGTGTGTTCGATGATAGACATCAACATACACATATGTATGTATAGATATTGTACACAGTGTCTGTGTGGTGTAATTTGTCAAGGTCACAAACACGCACACACACACACTTCACTTATAAAAGAAGTACACAGGAACATTATGAAATAGACAATGAAACTGGAATGATGATATATATATATATATATATATATATGAAAGTCTTGAGTTCGATCGCCTCGAAGGGGAGGTCATGGATGCACACTGTTGAGGGGTCTCATACTAAGATGAAACGGCTATCCAATGCTTCCAGTCTTAACAGTTTATTTTGTAGATGATATTTAGTTTTTCTTCTGTTGTCATTTTGTCCTTTGGTTAACAGAAATAGGATTAATTGAAGTGATTCTGTTGGTTTGTGTGCTACACCTCAGTCAGTTGCAACGTAGAACTTCGTACGTAAGTACATCAGTTCATGTCGCCATACCACACATCAGCACAGAGATGTAATTGTCAATTCAAATCCAATAGTAGAAGAGGTAGTAAAGGTATTCGAAGTAATCGGAGAGGTTAGGATTAGAAGATAATATTCAAGAAGTATGATTCAGTGAGAAAAGTTTAGAAAGTCAAAAGTAGAGGTGTTGAAGAATCCAGAAGATTAGGATTTGAGAGAACACAAAGAATAAATGCACCGGCGCCATTGCGAACGATTTTGAGCCATGTGTGCTACACCTATTCTAAGTGATTTCAGCAATCGTGCTACAATTAGTGATATGTCTTTTATATAGGGTAAGGTGCAGATAACGACAGGTTTAACGTCAGTGACAACCAAACACAATCAAGGTCAACACAACACAAACAGACAGACAGATACAACGCAGAACTTTGTACACAAGTAAGTATATCAGTTCAGGTTGCCATACCACGTCAGCACAGAGACGTAACTGTCAGTTCAAATCCAAGAGTGATAGCGATAGTAGAATTATTAGCAGCAATGGAGAAGATTAGGGAGCAGAGATATGATTCAAAAAGTATAATTCAGTGAGATAAATTTAGAAGGAGAAAGATGGAGATTATGAGGAATTCAGAAGGTTAGAATTAATAGCACACAAAAAGTGGATGCACTTACGCCATTGCAAACGATTCTGAGCCATGTCGTTTAAGGTCTCTAACCATCGGTGACTTTTGTTTTGCGGACCCCAACCAGATAGCCTACATCTACCAACATGACTCAGTCCACTTGTCAGTGACTTCATGCATATCTGCCATGTTTTGGTTTGGCCACCTCTAACTTTCTTCCAACCTACTCCTACACCACAAAACATAGCTCGTTGCGGTAGTCGGTGGTTAGGCATATGCAGCACATGTCCCAACCACCTCAACTGATGAAGTTTCATTACTTCATCTATTGATTTGTCATCCTTAACTAGAACTCGTTTCCCAACAATAGCATTGCTTACTCGGTCGTCCCAGGATACACGAGCAATGCTTCGGATACACCTATGATCGAAGACTAGTAACGTACGAACATCTTCTACTCTTAACGGCCATGTTTCGCATCCCTATAGTAGGACAGAGCGAACTTCTGCACATTAAACTCGTCCTTTGGTTAACAAGCGGATATCTCGCCTGAGCCATAAATGACGCAGGTTTGCAAAAGCCAATCGAGCCATCTGTATCCGTGCAGAGATTTCGTCAGTCACCAGGCCATCAGCACTGATGAGACTCCCCAGATAAGTGAAGCGGTCTACACCCTCAACTATACTTCACTCCCTATCATTACTAGTTCAGGTGCAGATGAAACCCAATCTTGAAGCAATATTTTGCGTTTCGAGGTGGAAAGCTGGATAAAGGAGAAGGGTTTGACGACAACCATCCCGTAGAAAACTAAGTCGCTAAAATACGATACTAACCAGAAAAATCACTTTAATTTATCAACAACAAAATAAACCATGTAAAATTATTCATGACGATGAGGAAAAAAAACTTACTTTTAATTGTATAAATGAAAAATATTTTGAATTCATTTTTGGCGCTTCTAAAATTAATTTAGCTAAAACAAACAAAATGAGAACGAGAGAGAGAGAGAAGAAAATGAGGAAAAGTTAGAAAATTTCAATCAATAAAAAACACAAAGCTAAGATGATTTCTTTTTCTATTTCAAGGGAAAAAATTTTTTATGCATCGAGAGTTTCGATTTTTCGATAGGTTCTTTTCCCATGATCTCATCTCTACTACTACTATGGGATTTAAATTGACAATTCCATTTCTCTCTGTGTGCTGATGTGGTATGGCAACTTAAACCACTACCTTGACGTGGTGGTCGGGCTTGCCTATCGTCATGACCCAACCGATCTATACTGGCTGGAACATATGTTCCTGAAGGTTCTACCATGCCAGGCAGGTCGATTGGAGAACAATCAGACTAAAAGCAGCTACTCAAGGTCTGAGGGCGAAGTCGTACTGATGACTGTGATGGAGGGGTGTGACAGCAGTAAGGTGTTTCCCTCGGACAACCAGCATCTGCAGCGATGCTGCCTTCTCACAAGGAAGGAAGGGTTAGAAAAGGTCGGCCCTAAAAATGTCACACCTCACCCTACCTCAAGGATTTCCGTCTCCGTCGGTAAGGGTGCCCACTAAGTGCCTATAAGAGCGGAGCTAATACTCAAAAATCTTCCAAAAAAGGCCGTGCGTGACCGGCCTCAAGCAGTTGTCCCTTAGGTTCTGCGCCTTCACATCTGCATCGAATTCACCATGCTCATCAATGATGCTGCTCAGATATTTGTGCTGCGTATGCCTAACCACCAACTGCCTAGACAAGCTTTGTTTTGAAGTGTAGGAGTAGGTTGGGAGAAAGTTAGGGGCGGCCAAACCAAAACATGGCACAAATCCATGAAGTCATTAATGATTGGACTGAGTCATGTCGGTAGTTGTCGACTACCTGGTTGGGGTCCGCGAGATGATAATAATCGATGGTTAGAGACCCTGAATGACATGTCTAAAAACCGTTTGCAGTTGCGCCGATGCATTTATTATTTGTGTTCTCTCAAATCCTAATCTTCTGGATTCTTCAACACCTCTAGTTTTGTCTTTCTAAACTTATCTCACTGAATCGTACTTCTTGAATATTATCTTCTAATCCTAACCTCTCTGATTACTTCTAATACTTTAACTACCTCTACTGCTATTGGATTTGAATTGACAATTACATCTCTGTGCTGATGTGTTATGGCGACATGAACTGATGTACTTACGTACGAAGTTCTACGTCGCATCCGACTGACCGACCAAAGGACGGGTTTACTGCGCAGCAGTTTGCTCAGTTCAACTTTATGGCTGTCAATAACTCCTTGAATAACATCTTCTAACCCTAATCCTCTTTGATTACTCCGTCTACTACTACTACTACTCAATATAGGATTTGAATTGACAATCACATCTCTCCGTATGCTAACTATGATCATGACAACTTGAACACACTGACTGATCGATCTACTTTACTTACATACAAAAAGTTTTACATTATAACTGACTGACTCACCATAAATTACAACGTACAGAAGACATAAAAAAAAGAGATTGAAGAACACAGAACACAGAACACACAGAACTTAAACTTACTTTGATAATCTGAACTATTGAATAACCAGCATATTAAAGATTCCAATGGAAAGTCCATAATAAACCAGATTAAATTTTTTAACATATTTTTAATCAGTAATAAAATTAATTGAACCTATAAAAAAAAACATCAATCAATCAATAAATGTTGTTTTGTTCTTTAGTAAAACAAAAAAGAAAACAACGAAAAATTGAACATTGATTGAATTTGTCAATTAAAAGTAAGTTTACTGAGTGAATGAAACTATCTATCTGTGCATTATCAATAATGAAGCGATGTTATTGCTTCGTTAGGCGACTATTCATCAAATATCTTAAAAGGAGAGTTATTTTTCGTAAGTTTAATTCTATTGGTCAATTCGTAATGGTCAATATTATGGTCGTCTTGGCTATCAGTGTCACAGACTTCAAACGTTGTTTCCTATTGGTCGACTTAACTGTCAATGTCACAGAGTTTAATGTTGTTTCCTATTCAACCTAACTGTTACGCTCGTCACTTAATATGCTTGCGGTTATTACGAGTTTACCTTAGTGGATAAACGCGAACGAGACAATTACCAGCGTCCAGATAGGCTAGCTTGAATCCCAAGCTGAAGATAGAAGGCTGTGTAAGCGTAGAAAGTATATTCTACAAACACCCAGCAATCACAGTACCATCAAACATACAACTCTCGTTTATTTATACAACATAGAAACGTCCTAGTGCGACAGTTAAGAAAATAGCACACTAAAATACACAGCAGCCAATCACAGCCATGGATTTTGCTGGTGGGAATTGAAATCTCAAGGTCAACTGATCAGCCCATGCTGGCAAACGTGAAAACTAAAATAAGGCATTTATCAAGCGAATTTCGGGGGTCTAACATCCCCAACACTAACTGTATAAATATGCATTTTCTGTAAGGTTTTATGACCCGGACCCGGATCCATAGCCTCTTCTGGACTCGGACCTGGTACTTTCTGGATGTTTGTAGAATACTGGTTCTACTTCATATCAAGTCTCCTTCTTCTTTTACTCAATGGGGGGGTTGGGACAATCGGATTAGAGTAGCATGTCGTGTCACCACCGTATCCTCGATCCTCACTCTTGTTTTCCCACTAAGGTAAACTCGTCATAGTTCAAGTATATCAAAAGTTAACCTGTTTACGTGTATGTGTAACATGCTTGTAAGAGCGAAAGGTTATTATTCGATAACAAGTATGTACTATAATGAGATATTAGGTGTCTAGAGGATATTAAACAGAAAACCTTGAACTGATGTTTCGTGCTAATTGACACTCATCAGCAAAGTTTACTCTACAATCATGAGGAAATCGATACACTCTGTGAGATTAAAACATGCGATATCTAAATGCATATAGTGTAAGACGTTGACTGTGAGTTAATCAGGCCACGACTACCTTCACTGTAAAGTGTTGTTGTCAACTCTATTTAACAAACCATAATATCTATGCATTTGGCTTATGCGCATTGACGAGTTATTTGGGGGGTAATATTTTTCAAACCAATATGCATATCAGCAAGTATGTGCAAACTTATATGCTCGTCAATTGATAGCCTTGAACACCATTACAAGTTCACGTTACTCGGTAAACGGATCGAAGGTCAACGATATATTGACACGATAGGATATTCTAATTCGTTTGTTCCAGGCTCGACTAACTAGATCAAGAAGTCTTCTTGATAAGTCGTAGAGAGAATGCATTCTACAAGCACCCAGAAAATACGAGGTGTCTAAGCAAACAATTCAAGCTTATTTATATAATGATACAAATGTCCTTGGGAGAGCCACAGAAATAGCATACTAAAATAATCCATCAACCAATGATAGTCAAGGAAGGATTTTCCAAGGAGGGGAAAATGCAAGCTGAAGGTCAACTGGCGCGAAAACATGAAAATTCAAAATTTCACAGTAAGATTACAAAATTAGGACCTTTTCCAAGTGAGTTGTGGGCATTTAATGTCCCCAACACAAACTTCGCCAGGAGCCTTTATAGGGTTACTGTCGGTCCTAAGTACGGATTGAAGGGGAGGAACTAGGCATAAGGTTAACAGATTCCTCACGTAGAAAATAAACGTGCGAATGAACGACTGTACTAATTTGTGAACACTTATTCGTATATATTAAGCTAAATAGTTTCAAAACTACTTTCTTGCTATAAATTGCCTTTTATTCATCAGTCTAGTCAAGTGTTGTGTACAAGGAAATACAATGATAGTTGAGTTAAACTTATAAATAACAATATTAGGTATCAGTCAGCCAGTCAGCTAAAACGTAGAACTTCGTATGTAAGTACAACGATTCAGGTTGTCATACTAAATCAGCGCACAGAGCAGATGTCATACATATTGACCAACTCAAATTTAAGTACACACACATTTGTAGATGTACTTCGAACATGCGTAAGTATAACACTTTACAAACATGAATCGATCAATTTTAGGCTACAATTAGAAACCTGGAAGCACTGAACAGTCATTTCGTCTAGGTATGGAACTTATTAGCAGTGTGCGCACCCACAACTCTAGCAACTCACAGGATTCGAGCTCAGGACCTTTGGTCTTGTGGACGAACGCTTAACCTTATGGAGTATTGGGCCGGCATCCAACGGTGTTAATGTCTAGTTCTGATCAATCTAGGGATTTCGCGCAACCTCTTTCATTGTCTTCAGTAGTTACTACCTACAGCCTACAAGGGTGAACTTAACTGGTCACGTCTTCTCACACTGGAAATCCGAGAAATTCCCTCATGAAGCTAGTTACTACAAGTGAGCACATGATAATTTGTATGATGGGGTCGTGGAGATTGTTGAGTTACTCTAAAGAAATCATGAATCGATCAATGTTAGACAACTATTAGAAGAAATCTGGAAGCACTGGATGGCCACCTTGTCGTATAGCTCAGTGATCCAGCGGTTAGGTGTTCGCGCACAAGACCGAAGGTTCTGGGTCCGGTGCAAGCAAGTGGGAGTCATGGCTGAGCACTATCGACGAACCCTGTGTTAGGACAAAACGACGGTCCAGTGCATCCAGCTTCCTTCTAATTAGAGTCTAATACTGATCGACTCACGATTTATTTCAATAAAGTAACTTCACAATTCTCCACAGCTCTTTTCTCATGTAAACTTCACATAAAAAACACGCAATCCGCCAATTCTTCTACTATCCTCCGCCACTGTGAGATTTAAAACTGACAGTTTTGTCTGTTAGGATATTCCTCTAATAATTATTGGTCAATTCCTATTGGTTAATTCCCACTGGTCAATTTTATAGTCGTCCTAGATATCAATGTCACGCGCACCAATGTTGTTTCTTATTGGTTGTCCTGACTATCAATGTCACTTCGAATGTTACTTCCTATTGGTCGTCTTAACTGTCAATGTCACAGACGTCGATGATGTTTCCTATTCGACTAAAATGTATAAATACGCATTATGTGTAACGTTTTATGACCACGACCAGGACCCGGTCCCGGATCCCTAGTCCGGGATCCTGATTCTCTTCTGGACTCGGACCTCGTACTTTCTGGATGCTTGTAGAATACATGTTCTACTTCACATTCAAGTCTTCTTATTTTTTTTACTCAATATGGGGGGTTAGGATAATCGCATTAGAGTAGCATGTCGTGTCACCGAATCCTCAAACCTCGCTCTCATATTCCGACTAAGTTATATACTCGTAATAGTTCAAGTATATCAAAAGTTGACGTGTTTGCATGCAGGCATAACAGTGTCTCCGTGCTAACATTGATGTATGCACGTGCACGTACGTACAAAATTCTACAATGTAACTGACTGACCTACTGACTGACTGACTGACTGACAAACACACAAAATGTCATCGGATTTTTCATATTCGATTCTTTCAAATTACAGATTAAAGCCAATAAAAACGTGTATCACATTTCTGCATTTTATTTTCTCCTTCTCCATAGAAAAAACAAAACTTACCGATGCAAATGTTACATAAAATGCTATTGTTGTAGTCAGCAAGCATAATCCAATAGCAAGACCTAATAAAGTTGACACTAATAAACGATCTAAATATAATCCACACGTTTGTCTAGTTAATTGATCACATAAAATAATATTAGAATCTTTTTTATTGGAAATAAACTTATACGATGGTGTACGTGTGTGTCCATGATGATGGCGGTGGTTGTGGTGGTGGTATGACTTGTTTGGCGGTTGTTGTTGTTGAAGGTGATCGTGAGGATGGTTTTCGTCGGTGGAGAGAACTGTCAATTGCTGTTGTTGTTGTTGATGATGATCAGCAGCAGCTGCTGCTGTCGACGACGAGAAGAATGTTTGCGATGATGGGGATGATGTTGACGATGATGCTGTTGATGAGATTTTCTTTTGCAATGAACTAACCGATAAGAAAAATTCACTTGAATCAATATACATATCGGGTATTTTATCGACACGATTACGTAATGGATTCCATTTGGAACTGTTACGACATAGACGCCATGAAGCGGCGATTGTTTTTAATTGTAAACGAATTAAACTAGAGGATGAATGTGGAAGAAGAAGAAGTAGGAGGAGGAAAATTCATTATTCGGGGAGAGAAAAAATGAATCGCCAACATACATTCACAAATATGTAAACGGATAGATTACACACGATATAATAGTGTAAGAATGGAAGATCAATAGATGAAGTAATGAGACTTCATCAATTGAGGTGGTTGGGATATGTGCTGCGTATGCTTAACCACCGGCTACCTCGACGAGCTTTATTTTGTAGTGTAGGAGAGTAGGTTGGAAGAAAGTTAGGGGCGGCCAAACCAAAACATGGCAGAAATCCATGAAGTCAGTAGTTGTCGACTACCTGGTTGGGGTCCGCGAGATGATAATAATCGATGGTTAGAGACCTTGAATGACATGGCTCAAAACCGTTTGCAGTTGCGCCGATGCATTTATTCTTTGTGTTCTCTCAAATCCTTATCTTCTGGGTTCTTCAACCCCTCTAGTTTTGACTTTCTAAACTTATCTCACTGAATCATATTTCTTGAATAAATATCTTCTAATCGTAACCTCTCCGATTACTTGTGATACCTTTACTACCTCTACTACTATTGGATTTGAATTGACACTTATATCTCTGTGCTGATGTGTGGTATGGCAACATGAACTGATGTACATACGTACGAAGTTCTACGTTGCATCTGACTGACTGACACAATAGTATCTGGCCAATCGTATTGAGAACTCCGCCTGAAGACACCTATCTAGGAGTTATGGCGCGCATAAAAGAGTGGTGTTGGAGCATGGGGTTAGTGACTGCATCCTGTAGAAAATTAACAAGCTAATCAGAAAATACAACTCGCTGGTCAGCGGTGACCTATGCTCCATTAAGGGTAACAGTCTTAGTCTGTCAGATACAACGTAGAACTTCGCGTGTGCGTACATCAGTTCATGTCGCCATACCAAATTAGCACAGAAATGCAATTGTCAATTCAAATCTCATAGTAGTAAATGTAGTGGAAGTATTCGCAAGTAATCGGAGAGATTGGGGTTCGAAGATATTATTCAAGATGTATAGTCCAGTAGAATAAACTTCAAAAGAGATAGATAAACGTGATGATGATAAGGGTTTGCAAACGAATTTGAGCTATGTAAGAGGGACAGACAAATAGATACAACACAGAACTTCGTACATAAGTACATTAGTTCAGGTTGCCATACCATATCAGCACAGAGTCGTAACTGTCAGTTCAAATCCAACAGTGATAGTGATAGTAGAATTATTAGCAGCAATGAAGAAGATTAGGGAGCAAATATATGATTCGAAAAGTATGATTCAGTGAGATAAATTTAGAAGGAGAAAGATAGGGATTATGAGGAATTCAAAAGGTTAGAATTGAAAAGCACACAAAGAGTGGATGCACCTGAGTCACTACAAACGATTGTGACGATTAGTATTCAAGGTCTCTAACCATTGGTGACTTTCGTCTCGCGGACCCCAACCAGGTAGTCTACATCTACCAACATGACTCAGTCCACTCGTCAGTGACTATATGGATTTGTGCCATGTTTTGGTTTGACCGCCCCTAGCTTCCTTTCAACCTACTCCTACACTACAAAACATAGCTCGTCGAGGCAGTCGGTGGTTAGGCATACGTAACACATGTCCCAACCACTTCAACTGATGAAGTCTCACTATTTCATCTATGGATTTGCCATCCCTACCTAGAACTTGTTTCCTAACGACAGCATTGATTATACGGTTGTCCCAGGATACAGGAGCAATGCTTCGGAGACACCTATGATCGAAGACCAGTAACCTACGGAAGTCCTCTACTCTCAACCGCCAAGTCTCGCATCCGTACAATAGGATGGAGCGAACTACTGCACAGTACACTCGTCCTTTAGTCATCAGACGGATATCTCGCCTGCGCCATAAGTGAAGCAGGTTGGCAAAAGCCAATCGAGCCTTCTGTACCCGTGCTGTGATTTCGTCAGTCACCAGGACTCTCTATCACCATGAAATACTTTGAACATTGGACTCATGAAACTACTTTGAACATTGAACTAGCGTGATCTGGTTATTGATTATTTGTTGCGTTTTGTTTTTCCTTTGTTTGACATGATTCATCATACCAAATATACATAATGATCAATGTGTCTTTTAATTTGTTTGAATGACATCGATTGAAAAATTCAATTTCATTTGAATGTCAAATTATTTTAGAAAAAAAACCGATGTTGATTGTAACACATTAAAACACAAACTAAACATGGCTTGTAATGTCCTGGTGTCGTTAGGAAACGGGTACTAGGTAAGGATGGTAGATCAATAGATGAAGGAAGTAGTGAAACTTCATCAGTTGAGTTGGTTGAGACATATATCACGTATGTCCAAACACCGACTGCTTCGGTGAGCAATGTTTTGTGGTGTAGGAGAGTAGGTTGGAAGAAAGCTAGGGACGGTCAGACCAAAACATGGCACAAATCCATGAAGTCACTGACAAGGTGTCGACTGCCTGGTTGGGGGCCAGTGAGATGATAATAATCAATGGTTAGAGACCTTGAATGACATGGCTCAGAATCGTTTGCAATGGCGCAGGTGCATCCACTCTTTGTGTTCTCGCAAATCTTAAATTTTTTAATTACTTATCATTTTATCTTTTCCTTTTTAAGTTTATTTCACTGGACTCTACCTCTTGAATAGTATCTTCAAACCCTAATCATCTCCTATAACGTGAATACTTCTACTATCTCTACCACTATGGGATTTGAACTGACAGTTGCGTCACTGTGTGCTAATGTAGTGTGGCAACTTGAACTGATGTATTTACATACGACGTTCTACGTTGTAACTGACTGGTTGAGTAATCTGCAAGCACTGAAACATGACCGTGTTTCGTCCTATCATAGGACTCAACAATCTCTATAAATCAATCACACAGCTGCTGACATCACTGATCGATCACAGTTAGACAGCCAATGAAAATCAGCGTAGCTATTGCGTCTTAATATAGACAAACAAACCTAGAATTATATTAGATGCTGGAAAAAAAATTGTAGCTCAGGTGAATGACCGTGGTGAAGTTTCATTCTCTGATTTAGATTTTTTCGGTTGTGGAGCTTTGGTTGTTCTTCTCCCAAACAACATCATCTGAGCAAACTTCAGGTAGATAGAAGTGAAGTATTTGAATTTTTTTACGTATGATTCGTAGCATGTTCTGTTGATCTCAATCTTGATTGATTAACAGAAAAAGCTGTGAGTTATAGCTGAAGAAATTCGAATACTTCACTTCTGTCTACCTGGAGTCTCATCAGCGCTGATAGCCTGGTGACTGACGAAATCTCAGCTCGGATACAGAAAGCTCGATTCGCTTTTGCCAATATACGCCGTTTACGGTGTAGGCGAGATATTCGTTCGCTAACCAAAGGATGGGTGTACTGAGCAGCAGTTCGCTCCGTTTTCCTATATGGCTGTGAAACATGGCCGTTAAGAGTAGAGGACATTCATAGGTTACTAGTCTTCAATCATAGATGTCTTAGAAGCATTGCTCGTATATCGTGGGACTAAAGAGTAAGCAATGCTGTCGTTAGGAAACGAGTATTAGGTAAGGATGGCAGATCAACAGATGAAGCATTGAAAATTCATCAGTTGAGGTGGTTGGGACATGTGTTACTTATGGCTAACCACCGACTGCCTCGACGAGCTATGTTTTGTGGTTTAGGGGTAGATTGGAAGAAGGATAGGAGCGGCCAGACCAAAACATGGCACAAATCCATGAAGTCACTGACAATTGGACTGAGTCATGTTGGTAGATGTGGACAACCTGGTTGGGGTTCGCGAGACGAAAGTCACCGATGGTTAGACGACATGGCTCAAAATCGGTTGCAACGGCCAATATTCATCGATTCTTTGTCTTCTCCCGAATTCTAATCTTCTGTGCTTGTGTAGTATGGCAACAAAAACTGATGTACGTACGTACGAAGTTTTGGCGCAAGTGCATCCATTCGTTGTGCTCTCTCAAATCCTAATCTTCTGGATTCGTCAGCACCTCGACCTTTGTCTTTCTAACCTTATCTTACTCAATTATACTTCTTGAATAATATCTTCAAACCCTAGTCTTCTTCATTACCATTAATACCTCTACTATCTTTATCGCAATGGGATTTGATTTGACATTTGCGTCTCTGTGCTAATGTGGTATGGCAACATGAACTTATGTACATACGAACGAAGTTCTACGTTGCAACCGACTGACTGACTGACTTCTATCTACCTGAAGTTAGTTCTGTTGATGTTGTTTTGGGAGAAGGTCAACGAAAGCTTCACAACCCGAAACATCCAGCTCAGAGAATGAAACTCCAAAAGCGCTTTTGAAATGAAGTGATAATAATAATAATAATAATAATAATAAAACTTACTTTTTATGGGATGTTTTTAAAGTGTTAGCTCCGCTCTTCAAATGACCTTACCGCCGGTGACGGGAGTCTGTGGGTTAAGGTGAGATGTGACATTTTTAGGATTGAACTTTTCTAACTCCTTCCTTCCTTCCTTAATTGTGAGAAGACAGTATCGCTGTGGATGTTAGTTATCCAAGGGAAACATCTTATTGCTGTCATACGTGTCTGCAGTCATCAGTACGACTTCGTCCTCCAGACCTTAAGTTACTGCTTTCAGTATCACCATTCTCCAATCGACCTGCCTGGCATGGAAGCGACATAGCTCGATTGAGTCATTATGGTAGGCAATCTCCGCCCCCACAAATCAATGTAGCAACTACGGTCTAGTCGCCCTATACAACAATGCCTATCTAATACAACTCTCATTGAGAATCAAATCTAGAACTTATAATCTCATGTCTAGCAGAGAAATGCTTTTTTCTATCAACACAAAAATACAGACAGACAGACAGACAGATACAACGCAGAACTTCGTGCATAAGTACATTAGTTCAGGTTGTCATACCACATCAGCACATAGACGCAACTATCAGTTCAAATCCAAGAGTGATAGCGATAGTAGAATTATTAGCAGCAATGAAGAAGGTTAGGGGGCAAAGATATAATTCGAAAAGTATAATTCAGTGAGAAAAATTTATAAAGAGAAAGATAGAGATTATGAGTAATTCAGAAGGTTAGAACTAAAAACCACACAAAGATTCGATGCACCTGCGCCATTGCAAACGATTTTGAGCCATGTCGTTCAAGGTCTGTAACGATTGGTGACTTTAGTCTCGCGGAACCCAACCAGGCGGTAGGCTACATCTACCAAGATGACTCAGTCCACTTGTCAGTGACTTCATGGATTTGTGCCATGTTTTGGTCTGGCCGCCCCTAGCTTTCTTCCAACTTACTCCTACACCACAAGACATAGCTTGTCGAGGCAGTCGGTGGTCAGCCATACGTAACACATGTACCAACCACCTCAACTGATGAAGTTTCACCAACTCATCTATTGATCTGCCATCCTTACCTAGTACTCGTTTCCTAACGACAGCATTGCTTACTCTTTAGTCCCACGATATACGAGCAATGCTTCTAAGACATCCATGATCGAACATCTTCTACTCTTAACGGCCATGTTTCGCATCCGTATAGTAAGACAGAGCGAACTGCTGGGCAGTACACTCGTCCTTTAGTCGGCAAACGGATATCTCGCCTGCGCCATAAATGACGCAAGTCGGCAAAAGCCAATTGAGCTTTCTGTATCCAAGCTTCGATTTCGTCATTCACCAGGCCATCAGCACTGACTGAAGAGACGACTCCCCAGACAAGTAGTAAAGCGGTCTACACTCTCAACGATACTTCACTCCCTATCATTACTAATTGAGGTGCCGATGCAACCCAATCTTGAAGCAACAACATTTTGCATTTCGACGGAGGGGGAGGTGGAAAACCGCATCCCAAACATGCTTGTTTGCATTGTTGCCCCTGGTTGGTCAAAAGACTCTACATTTTGGTCAGCATCTCTTCACCAAACAGGACTGACTGACTATGTATGTCATCGGCCACAAAAAGACAGTGTAACAACAACAACAACAATAGAAAAAAAACGAATTATTTAACCGAAAAAAATACAATACAATCACTAGTACTTACTGTATAGCATAAATATAAAAACTTGTTAAATGCAGCGTAATCAATTCTATACTATCCAATATTAAACATATAAATAATCCAAGCATTAAACGTAGAATTGTTGAAAAATATATTATCAGTATTTTAAATAAACAAATATTACGGCGGCAATCAGTAAAAGTGTTGGGTTGTATCAATGTACACATTGATGATGTACTACTAGTACAGCCACTTGTCATTGTCATACTTGTTGTCGCCGTCATTAAATAAATTGTACTCATTAATAAACATAACATTGTCATAGTATTCATTAAAATATAATCATTATTCAATGTCTCGTCAATGATTGTCCAATGTTCAATAAATTGTTTTATTGTATAAATTAATAATGATATAATAAATGTAACATATGAACGCCATGCTAATAAATGATATAAGAAAAATTGTCCCATTAAATAAGCTAAATGTAAATTGATTTTTAAACCAGCTGGTTTACCTTGTTCAAGCCATAATAATAGACGTGTTAATTCACATGTGAAATACTATGAAAGTAAACGGAGAAAGGAAAATAAGAAATACAGGTGAACAGATTGAATTGATTGATTCATTGATTCAATGATCTGTAAGATATTACGTATACATATACATATTACTTACTTACTTACTTACTTACGCCTGTTACCCCCCCCCAATGGAGCATAGGCCGCCCACCAACAGCATTCTCCAACCAACTCTGTACTGGGCTTCCCTTTCCAATTCTGTCCAATGTTTGTTCATTTCTCTCATATCTTTCTCTATTTCTCGGCGTAATGTTTCCCTTGGCCTTCCTCTTTTCCATTTGCCTTGAGGGTTCCATGTGGGGGCTTGTCTCGTGACGCAGTTCGATGCTTTCCGTAGTGTATGTCCTATCCACCAAATCCACCGCTTCTTCTTCATTTCCTCCTCGCCTGGAATCTAGTTTGTTGTTGCTGATGGTGTGTCTGGCCAACGAATCCGAAGTATTTTGCGTAGACAACTGTTCATAAACACTTGTATCTTCTGGATGATGACTTTCGTAGTTCTCCAGGTTTCCGCTCCATACAGTATAACTGTCTTGACATTTGTATTGAAAATCCTGATTTTGGTTTTGGTTGAAAGTTGTTTGGAGTTCAAGATATTTTTCAACTGTAGAAATGCAGCCCTTGCTTTACCAATCCGCGCCCTCACCTCTGCATCGGATCCACCTTGGTTGTCGATGATGCTGCCAAGATATGTAAAGGTGTTAACGTCCTCCAAGGCATCTCCATCAAAAGTGATTTGGTTGGTGCATGTTGTGTTGCATCGGAGAATTTTGCTTTTTCTTTTATATATATATATATATATATATATATATATATAATTCCCAACCAAATGCGATGAAGTTTATAGAGATGGTCAAGAAGCGCAAGAGACTCTATTGAATCACAGTCCAAGCGAATTTTTGAATTATCAAGATGGTGTATAGTGATTTGTTAGGTAAGGTCGCTAACTCTCACCCCTTCTCTTTCTCTTGGTGATCGATTGGAGATGATGTCAATATGTGGGGGCGAGGATGGGATACAATGAACAGCTGGGATGCATCTGGACGATCTGGACGTCGCAGATGACCTAACTCTTCTATCGCACATGCAACAACAAATGCAAGAGAAGATGATGACCCAGTGTGGCAGCAACCTCAGCAGCAGTAGATTTCAATATACATAAAGGGAAGAGCAAGATTCTGCGATACAGCACAACATGCGCCAACCAAATCACTCTTGATGGACACGCCTTGAAGGACGTTAACACCTTTACATATCTGGTCAGCATCATCAACAATCAAGGTGGAACCGATGCAGATGTGAAAGCACGGACTGACTGAGCTAGGGAAGCATCTCTGCAATTGATGAATGTCTGTAACTCAAAAAAAAAACTATCAACCAACACCAAAATCAGAATCTCTCATATATATGTCAAGACAGTTCTACTATATGGTGCGGAAAGTTGGAAAACTACCGAAGCCATCATCCAGAAGATACAAGTATTTAACAGTTGCCTATGCAAAATACTTCGGATCTGTTTATCAGACACCATCAGCAACAAACCATATTCTAGTTGAGGGTAGGACACACACACTGAGGAAATCACCCAACTGTGTCACACGACAAGCTCTCACTCGGTATCCTCAAGGCCAAACGGAACGAGGAAGACCAACGGACATTACAGCGGCAGTCGGAGACAGGAATGAAAAAAATGAACAGCAATTGGACAGAACTAGAAAATAAGGCCCATGGCAAAGTAGGATGAAGAATGCTGGTTTGCGGCCTATGCTCCACTGGGAGTAACAGGCGTAAAGTAATATAGTCATTCGGCGCTTGTGTAATGTGACTGTTTTGCTGACCGGACAATGATAATGATATTTTTCCAATCTATACTAAATAATATAAACATACATACATGGTTTTTCATGTACATTTTGACCTTTACTAGAGTACATACTTTTGACTTATTGATTGGTGACTTGGAGGTATGAAGTACGGCGATTGTACTTTCTCTAGTGCTGAGCTGAATGTTATATTCAATGTTCACTATATCAAGTAGAAGATGTAACACTTTTTATCATGACCTAACTGATGATTGTATCAGTTGGAGTTGTTGAATCGCTGAGCCAGAGATTCTTATGTCGAGTCCACAGGGTTTATCTCAGCCTTCAATCGATCCATTCGCCTCGAGTTATTATTCACTCGTCTAGCTTCGCTTAACTGACTGTAGATGGTTAGTTGCGTTTCAACGCATTAAGTTGGTTCGCTTGCTTTCTCTGCTTCATTTCCTCACTTTTTATTCTTATGTTTATCTGCATAAACGATTATATGAAATAAACTAGTGAAAACGAATTCATATTTGACTTTTTATGACTGCCCTTTCACACACAGGGTTCGACTACGTATGATATACGGGAACTGAAGGGGATATTGATTTCATAGCATATTTGATTGTTTATAATTATCGAAGTTAGATCGCGGGGACACTAAAATAGTGAGAGACCTACGTCGAGTTCCATTCAACCACTAATATTTAAATTCAGTTGTGAACAACATCGGTTGAATAGTCTAGAGACACGTGTTCACACATAAGATTGTAGATCTTCCGTTCAACTCCCGAGGGCGTAGTTGCGCGTCCACACTGCTGAAGAGTCCTCGCGCTAGAACAAATCAGCCATCTTCTAGTGGATACAGGCTTTTCATGCTTATCGGTTATATATATACTAACAATCACAAATATCATTTAAACAACTGTTCAATAGTAAATTTAAAAAAAGAAACCGTGTTTGTTTAAATCACGAAATCGCACGTCTTAGGTTCAACTCCCTGTGGTAGACTGCAGCATCTACGCTTTCAATGATGGTTATCAGTTGGTGTTTGTTGAGGGACGTAGATCCCTAGAACTCACTTGGAATAGCTCCTAGTTTTCGATTTTATGTTTTAGCGCATGGGCTGATCAGCTGACCCTGAGATTACACTTCCCACCTGGAAAATCCTTAACTGTCATTAGCTGATGTATTATTTCAGTACGCTATGTTTGTGGCCCTCTCAAGGGTGTGCTTGTCTGGGTGCTTGTAGAATATACTTTCTACGCCATATCGACCTCTTCCTCTATTTAGTGGGGACCTAGGGATACTCAGATTAGAATAGCCTATCGTATCACTGGATCATTTGTCTTCGCTCTTGTTTGCCGACTAAGATGTGAACTCGTAATACCATACAAGCATATCAATCAATTGACAAGCATAGTAGTGATTTCAATGAAATTCAACAATATCCATCACCTCATGCTTGTTTTAACTGTTACGCCTGAACGTAAAACATGTCAACTTTTGATATACTTGAACTGTTACGAGTATATAACTTAGTCGGAATACGAGAGCGAGGATCGAGGATCCGGTGATACGACATACTACTCAAATCCGACTATCCCAACCCCCCATATTTAGTAAAAATAAGAAGACGTGATATGAAGTAGAACGTGTATTCTACAAGCATCCAGGAAGCACGAGGTCCGAATCCAGAAGAGAATCAGGATTCCGAAAAAGGGATCCAGAACCGAGCACTGGTCCTGGTCGTCGTCATAAAATGTTACACATAATGCGGATTCATACATTTTGGTCAAATACGAAACAGCATCGAATTCTGTGACATTGACAGTTTAGGACAACCAATAGGAAGGAAGTAACATTTGAAATGACATTGACAGTCCGGATGACCAATCAGAGACAACAACATTGAAGTATTGCAAAACTTTGACAGTTAATAAAACGACCTTAAATATTGACCAATAGAAATCGACCAATAGGATTTGACCAATAATTCAATTCTCTTACGATATTGGATGAATCATCCTAACATAACAGCACAGTAAGTAAATACAATGAAAAAAAAAAATTACTCACTCACTTCAATACAACGATATAATACATTCATTCGACAATGATTATTATTTGCTGTTGTTGTAGTTGATGCCGCCGTTAAATAATGCATTAAATCATTGGTGGAATTGTACAACACGAAAATCGATGACGACGGCGACGCCGATGACGCCGATGTGGACATGTTATTCATTGTTGCATTCTCTTCATTTTTATCTAAATAAAATAAACCTAATGTTGGTATAATTTTACAATTTAAATCATCCGGTAACCACCAATTATTATTATTATTATTATTATTATTATTATTATTAGTCATCCATGTATTCATATTATTTGAAGTAGGACATGAAGAGGATGACAATGAATTGGAGTGTTGTTTCGGTGTATTCGGTTGACAACATTGACAATCATCATTGTAATAATAGTAATAATAATAATAATGATCATTAGAAGGTGAAGAAGGCACAGAAGAAGAATGATATTGATTATTTTTACCGTTTGTATTATCCTGACACGAAGAATATGGATGATTATGGGATGATGATGACGATGGTATTGTAATGAAACATAGCATTAATATTAATAAATGTACCGCTGTAAATACACTTAATCCAGGATCTGGTACAAATGGTCGTGGAATTATTGTTGTATGTTGATGTACAGATGATGATTGGGGCGTATTATTGGGATTACTATTAGTAGTAGCCGCAGTAGGAGTAGGAGTAGTAGTAGTAGTGGTAGTATTCGACGATACAGTAGTAAATAATGTTTTGGACGTATCAAATTGATATTTAATAAATAAAAATGTATAACTAAGATGAATTGTTTTATTAAATAGTTTTGTAAAAAATTGTAATATAAACTCAATGACGAAATAATAATAAGAATGTTCTTGTTGAGATCTAGAGAGAGAGGAAAATTAAAATGAATTGAAATATTAATAGGTGAATTAGTGTTTAAAAAAAAATTCTTAGAATGATTTAAGGGGCAAACATTAATTAACATTTCTTCGACACTACGGTGTGCCTGAGAAAATAGTCAACATCATACGGAATTCTTATGATGGATTCAACTGCAAAATCGTGCACGGAGGACAGCTGACAGACTCTTTTGATGTGAAGACCGGTGTCAGGCAAGGTTGCTTACTCTCACCTTTTCTCTTTCTCCTGGTGATCGACTGGATTATGAAGACGTCAACATCTGGAGGGAAGCATAGTATCAACTGGACAGTTAGGACGCAGCTGGACGATCTGGACTTCGCAGATCTGATCTGGCTCTTCTATCTCACACGCAACAACAAATGCAAGAGAAGATGACCAGTGTAGCAGCAGCCTCTGCAGTAAACGTAGGTCTCAACATACATAAAGGAAAAAGCAAAATTCTCCGATGGCGCAACACAACATGCACCAACCAAATCACTCTTGATGGAGATGCGTTGGATGACGTTAACACCTTTACATATCTGGTCAGCATCATCGACAATCAACGTGAAACCGATGCAGATGTGATGGCGCTGATTCGCAAAGCGAGGGCTGCATTTCTACAGTTGAAAAATATCTGGAACTCCAAACAGATATCAATCAACATCAAAATAAGGATTTTCAATACAAATGTCAAGACAGTTCTAATGTATGAAGCGGAAACATGGAGAACTACCAAAGCCATCATCCAGAGGATACAAGTGTTTATTAACAGTTGTCTACGCGAAATACTTCGGATTCGTTGGCCAGACACTATCAGCAACAACAAACTAGATTCCAGTGGAGGAGGAAATCATAAAGAAGCGGTGGAAGTGGATAGGACACACATTGCGGAAAGCACCTAACTGCGTCACAAGACAAATCCTCACATGGAACCCTCAAGGCAAATGGAAAAGAGGAAGGCCAATGCACACATTACGCCGAGAAATAGAGAAATACATGAGAAGAATGAACAAACATTGGACAGAACTGGAGAAGGAAGCCCAGGACAGACAGAGTTGGTTGGAGAAAACTGGTGGGCGGCCTATGCTCCATTGGGGGTAACAGGCGTAAGTAAGTAAGTAAGGTTTCTACTGGTGGTAGTCTAACAATGATTGATTCATGATTTCAAGGAAAAACAACGATCTCTATAATACTATAATGCAAAATCAGAAAAAAATGTGAGGTTCTCGGAGTTCTAGTGAGAAGACGTGACTAATGGAGTTCAATCCTATTGGGTGTAAGCAGTAACTAATGAAGACAATGGGTGAGGTAACGTAAAAATCGTTAAATTGATCAAAGTTAGACAGTAACATCGTTGGATGCTAGCCAGCTCAGTGGTCTAAAGGTTAAGCGTTCGTACATGCGAGACCGAAGGCTCCGAGTTCGTCTCCTGAGAGTAACAGGAGTCACTAGTGAGTCCCATACTATGACGAAACGACCGTCTTTTAGTGCTTCCAAGATTCTAATGTGGTAGTCTAACAATGATTGATTCATGATTACAATAATAAATAGAATCTAAATTAGTGTTAGGATATTCATCCAATATCCTAAGAGAATTATTGGTCAAATTCTATCGGTCGATTTCTATTGGTCAAATTTATGGTTGTTTTAACTTTCAAAGTCAAATACTTCAATGTTGTCTCTTATTGGTCATCCGGACTGTCAATGTCATTTCAAATGTTGTCTCTTATTGGTCATTCGGACTGTCAATGTCATTTCAAATGTTACTTCCTATTGGTCGTCCTAAACTGACAATGCTACAGAATTCGATGCCGTTTCCTATTCGACCAAAATGTATAAATATGCATTATCTGTAACATTTTATGACCACGACCAGGACCAGGGCTCGGTTCTGGATCCCTAGTCCGGGATCCTGATTCTCTTCTGGATTTGGACCTCGTACTTCTGGACGCTTGTAGAATACATAGTTTACTTCATATCATGTCATCTTATTTTTCCTCAATATAGGTGTTGGGATAATCAGATTAGAGTAGCATGTCGTGTCGCCGTATCCTCGATCTTCGCTCTCGTTTTCCAACTAGGTGAACTCGTAATAGTTCAAGTATATCAAGTTGACGTGTTTACGTGCAGGCGTAACAATTAGAGATTGATGATCCTTGGGGTTGGATTCCCGCCAGCAAGGTTTATGGATGCACATTGTTGAGGATTTTTAGACTAGGAAAAAAAATGACCGTCCAGTGCTTTCAGGTTTCTAATGATGATCTAGATCAGTTGTTAGTGATTTCAACTCTCCTTCGTCTATACTTCCATTACTTGTTTCTAACAAGTACCAGATTACCAAGTACATAGATTCATGCAGATTTATTCATGTAATCAATAGATCAATATCAATGCAGACCATCAGAGATTTGGATGAATAACTATCAACAATACACTGTTCAGCATTCAGAGAGAAGTGTGAATCTACCCTCATTTGGTTAGGGTTGAATGCTGATTTCCGACCACATACATAAGAAGTACACTATATTAGGCGGACTTTGTTATGCAACAGATGGATGGTATGATTCTAAACCGATTATAAAGGCGGGTTTTCTGGTACTGTTAGTTAGATCTGAATCCCCCACAGAGGACAATCGCCTTACGACATATACATACATACAGATACAACGCAGAACTTCGTACATAAGTACATCAGTTCAGGTTGCCATACACATCAGCACATAGACGCAACTGTCAGTTCAAATCCAAGAGTGATAGCAATAATAGATGTATTAGCAGTAATGGAGAAGATTAGGGAGTGAAGATATGATTCAAAAAGTATAATTCAGTAAGATAAATTTAGAAGGAGAAAGATAGAGGTTATGAAGAATGCAGAAGCATAGAATTTCATAGAACACAAAGAGTGGATGCACCTGAGCCATCAGAAAAGATTCGGAGCCATGTCGTTCAAGGTCTCTAACCATCGGTGACTATCGTCTCGCGGACACCCCAACATGACTCAGTCTATGCCATTCAGGATGAGTGGAGATCGTGGGTAACCGGAGAGTGGCTCGAGACCAGTTGAACTGATCCCTAAAGTGTTCTGCCCATCGATCCAGTCTCCTGGATTGAGAATAAATAATAGTCCCATCATTTTCCGAGATAGTCTCACTTACACTAGGATTCCTAATACCAGTTTCCTTGATAAGTCGGAAAAGTTGTCTACTGTTGCCGATCGCCGCTGCCTTTTCCATCGGTTTTGCTTTCGCCACCCACCACTGTTCACGGTCGTTGCGCAGGCTTTTTATCAGCCTGCGCTTAACCTGACTTTTTGAGTATTAGCTCCGCTCTTGAAAACCCTTATTGACCACCCTTACCGACGGAGACGTCAATCCGTGAGGTAGGGTGAGGTGTGACATTTTTAGGGTCGACCTTTTCTAACCCTTCCTTCCTTGTGAGAATGCAGCATCACTGCAGATGCTGATTATCCGAGGGAAACACCTTACTGCTGTCACACCCCTCCATCACAGTCTGCAGTACGACTTCGCCCTCAGACCTTGGGTAGCTGCTTTTAGTCTCATCGTTCTCCAATCATCCTGACTGGCATGGTAGAACCTTCAGTAACATTTGTTCTTGCCAGTATAGCTCGGTTGGGTCATAACGATAGTCCAGCCCGACCACCACGTCAAAGTAGCAGCTACGGGCAGGCCTTAGGACATAGTCTGGTAGGTGGACTGACTTGTCGAACAGTGAAAGGTTTGGTTCGCAGTAAGGAGACAAAAAATCAAGGATCCTCAGTCATAGGACTGACGGAAGAACCTCAAAATTCTTCGTCTCAGAGCGGACTGTGGAATTCTTGTTTTATGACTGAGTATATCACGTATCAGTAACCAGGTTTGACCCTGTATCTCATTGGTTCAACTAATGATCAGTCAATGTGCTCATTGGTTGAAACGTATGTCGCATAGATAACCAATTTGGATAAACCATTTTTATGCTCGACTATTTCATGACTCGCTGTTGTTGCCGTTGTCCGATCATTTTGAATTGATTGTAGAATCACAGTCACATACTGAAATATAAATATTTACGAGTAGCCAAGACAAACTTCTACGTCGAATAAACTTTAGATACGTTATTCTAGCAAATCGGACACAAAACAAAAATTCGGTTTTATCTCAAGCATTCGTTTAATTCATTAAATACGTATTATACTACTGATTAGTCCTACTTTTATGGCCAATCGATTTTTCACTGGTTGCATTGGTCATACACACGCACAAACTTCGAGCTCGGTTATGTATATAATCGTAAATTTTCATTTTATGATGTAACGTTGTCCAGTAGTAGTAAGTATCTGTGTATATACACACCCATGTATGTATGTTTGTATGTGTGTAAGTGTGAAATGATAGAAGCAGTCGGTTGACTTTTTGGACTAAGGACAGGGTATAGATTAAAAAAGACATTGCAATTAATGAGTGAACTAATAAGTGATTAGTTTTGTTCGAGGTGAAAAGTGTTGGTCAGACAAGTTAATTGGGCAAGTGTAATGTACTACGGGCTATGGAACAAATAGTAGAAGCGACGTAGACGAGACTAGGATTTGGTTTGGTGAAATTTACCACATGACATGAGTCAGCATTCTCAAGGCACAACACCATTTAAATAACGGCCACACATGACTTTTGGTACGGTCGAGAGTCAATTCAACAACAAATAAAGAACTTCGTACGTAGGTACATAAGTTCAACTTGTCATACCACATTAACACAGAGATACAATTGTCACTTCAAATCCCATAGTAGTAGAGGAAGTAGAAGTATTAGAAGTAATCGGATAGATTAGGGTTTAAAGATAATATTCAAGAAGTAGAATCAAGTGAAAGAAACTTAAAACGAAAAAAGATAAAGGTGATGAGGAACTCCGAATGTTAGGATTTGAGAGAACACACTGAATGAATGCAACGGCGCCATTGCAAACGGTTTTGAGTCAGGCCATTCAACGTCTCTAACTATCGATTATTATCGTCTCGCGGGCCCCGAACAGGTAGTCGACAATTACCGACATGACTCAGTCCACTTGTCAGTGACCTCATGAATTTGTGCCATGTTTTGGTCTGGCCGCCCCTAGCTTTCATCCAACCTATTCCTACATCGCGAAACATAGCTCGACGAGACAGTCGGTGGTTAGACATACACAAAACATGTCCCAACCATCTCAACTGATGAAAATTCAATACTTCATCTATTGACCTACCATCCTTACCTAGCACCCGTTTCCTAATAATAGAATTGTGTACTCGGTTGTCACACGATACACGAGCAATGCTTTGGAGACACCTGCGATCGAAAATCAGTAACCTACGAATATCTTCTACTCTTACTGGACCTGTTTCGCAGCCATAAAGTAGGATGGAGCGAACTGCTGCGCAGTAACCACGCAATCGGATATCTCGCCTGTGCCATAAATGACACAAGTTGGCCAACAGTGAAGAGTGTCTGCTCTCTCACTGCTCTCTCCAAATGATCTCATACGACTCTGCCAATCATGGAAATCATACACACTGTCTTCTGTCAGAGCAAGTATTGTTCACGAAATTCAAACGATGATGAGCGAATATTCAGCGGCGGCGGCGGCATAAACCGAGTTAGTGGGTATGGAGGACCTAATTAAGGCAATTTTAAAAAACACTACTTCCAAACCATTGGTGAATATTCACTATTAACGGTTTTATTCAATAATATTTGTTTAGTACAACAATAAAGAATTCTCAACACAAAGTATTTCAAAAAGTTTGTTTATTCGACCGAAAATAATCGATCGATCGTTTCAAACACACATGCACACACACAAACACATACATGAACTGAAAGTAAATAAACTAACTCAAGACAACATCAAATATTTTCTTCATCAAATGACAGACAATCTCTATATACATAAAAAAAATTTTTAATTTGGAAACATGTTTAAACAAAAAAACAGAAATTCTAAACTTATTCAACTCTTACTACTACTTGTTCATTGTGTATAGTTAAGTATAATTAATTCTCAAGTAAGGCTGGCTGGTTAGTAGTCTACACACTCTTTATACTTTTTAATTGAATGCATCAATTAACTCTATGGTGTCGGCGGCGTCTTTTTCTGCCAGAAGATGCAATCAGTCAGTCAAATTGCAACGTAGAACTTCGTACGTATGTACGTCAGTGTTCATGTTGCCATACCACATTAGCACAGAGACGGCAATTGTCAATTCAAATCTCATAGTGATAGAGATAGTAGAGGTATTCATGGTAATGAAGAAGACTAGGGTTCGAAGATATTATTCAAGAAGTATAATTCAGTCAGATAAGGTTAGAAAAACAAAGGTAGAGGTGTTGACGAATCCAGAAGATTAGGAATTGAGAGAGCTCAACGGATGGATGCACTTGCGCCATTGCAAACGATTTTGAGCCATATCGTTCAAGGTCTCTAACCATTGGTGACTATCGTCTCGCGGACCCAAACCAGGTAGTCTACATCTACCAACATGACTCAGTCCACTTGTCAGTGACTTTATGAATTTCTGCCATGTTTTGGTATGGCCGCCTCTAGCTTTCTTCCAATCTACTCCTACACCACAAAACATAGCTCATCGAGGCAGTCGGTGGTTAGGCCAGGAGATGCACAAGAAGAAAGATGAGAATCAAGTGAATAGTAAGTATCTGATAAGATAACAACACTTGCCAAGAGTTTGCAACATTTTAAACATCTATCCACAATTATATTATTCATAATCACTGAACAGAATACTCATCACCAAACTCTGTCAACTCTCCCTTCACCATACTCTGCACAATAGGTACTTTAATATCAATAAAACCGTCAGAGATTACACGAAAAACTCACACCAAAATAAATGATCATTATCGAAATCTGGAGATTTTATAATCAAAACAGTGTCAGTGTCCAACTGCTGTGTCATGTCTCAGACTAGAATTAACAGCTGGACATTTAAAGGAAACAAGTGTAAGACAATTAATGACAGACTATCGTTTACCGAAGGACAAGAACTCATTCACAGGCAGAAATCAGTGTACATACAGTGAGATCATCTGCATACTTGATGGCAAATCATGCAGGATTTAGTAAAGACATTGAACACTTTTTCTCCAAGTACAGCATACTGGTCTGTTTCAGAGGCAAGAACACATCCAGTTGATTGTCCGACTGTCAGTGGTGACACCGGCGAACTTATCCTACTTCAAGCTGAACACCGGGTACTGTTACGGGTATTTTGAGGGTTAGCTCCGTTCTTAAACGCCCTTAGTGGGCACCCTTACCCAAGGAGACGGAAATCCGTGAGGTAGGGTGAGGTGTGACATTTTTAGGGTCGACCTTTTCTAACCCTTCCTTCCTTGTGAGAAGGCAGCATCGCTGCAGATGCTGGTTGTCCGAGGGAAACACCTTACTGCTGTCACACCCCTCCATCACAGTCAGCAGTACGACTTCGCCCTCAGACCTTGGGTAGCTGCTTTTAGTCTCATCGTTCTCCAATCGACCAGCCTGGCATGGTAGAACCTTCAGGAACATAAGTTCCAGCCAATATAGCTCGGTTGGGTCATCACGATAGGCAAGCCCAACCACCACGTCAAGGTAGCAGCTTCGGTCGGGTCACTGAACAGCACTACATTGTGATACAAAACAGCATTTGTAAGCGAATTGACATGGAGTTATGTGCTTTTTTAATACAAGCCCAAGTGGGAGTAGTAATATAGTTTATGGGTTGTTTTGAGAAAAGGCGTACTTATTGCTTGCTATGCATCTAGATGTTGCATTTTCATCACCAAATACCTACTTTAATACTGGGATTATCTTGATTTTTCACCACAGCTTTTGACATAAAATGAGTTAAAGATGGTCGTGATTAGGTGATACAAAAACGTGAGCTTATTTCTTAAAAAAATAGAAGTCAAGTCCTAAGCAATAGGATATTTTCGGGTATCAGTGCCAGTGACAATTAAAACACATCTGTTCTTCCAACCTGTGGATATAAAAAGCAATCTTTTTTTCAAACTATCTCATATCTATCATTATAGAATAGTAAAGATAACTGAGTTTCATAGGAAGCATAAATCGATCAGTGCGAGTCATTCGGTCAGTTAGTTAGACCACCATCAAAAACCTGGGAGCATTAGTATGGAACTTAAAAACAGTGCGCATACACGAACCCCACTAGCGAGAATCGAACCTTGAACCTTCGGTCTTGCATGCCAAAGCTTAACCTCTTGTCCACTGAGTCGGCATCAAACAGTGTTAATGTCTTCGGTAGGTAACAACTGCCTACACCTGACACTGTTAAAACCGATTGGTTACGGCTTTTCACTAGAACTGCGAGAACTTTCTCATCACATAAGTCACTCAGTACCGGGTTTTAATCCTTAGTGCGGAGATTGAGGGTGCGCACTGCTGACAAGTCTCACACTAGGACAAAACCACAATCCAATAATTCTAGGTTTCGAATAATGGTCTATCGATGATCGATTCATAATTTTAATGTATCTAACAGAATTGAACTCCACTAGTCACAGATTCTAAACTGGAACTTTACACCAGCGCGCGCGAGACCAATAGTCCTAGGTTCGATATAAATATATATATACATATACCTTGAAAGGGATGTAGCTTTCCATTATGATTGAAGGTGGCCCTAGACGTTCTGTTTGGGGAAGCAGCCGTAGAGATCCTGGACTACTGGCGCCAACCCTATGTGGTTGTCCCGAACACTCTGCATCTCGGTGTAGTGTGTAAACTGGCGTCGAGGCCCCTTAAACAAGGGTCTCCAGTTAGGTTATGTGATCCGGTGCTAAAGGGTACTGGACGCCAATGATGTCTGCCCACTTCTGTGAGATTAAGCCAGCTTGGCCGAGTGCTTTCACTTGGTTAAGTCCATGACATCTTCCTCACGGGAGTGTGTACGTTCCAGCTGACCTTGTGGGACAAACTCGATCTTTAGCTTCATGTGGGGAGTCTGAGGGCTCCGGTTGATTGTATCAACGCAAGGCAGTTGGATGCCAGACAGTTGGAACGGCTGCTGGTTAGTGCACTGCTGGGTGGCTCGGTAATCCGTTCAGGGTGTCAGGTCTAGCTGAGTAAGCCGGCCTTGCCGCCCATACCCGAACGGGGGCCACTGTTCGTGTGTGTGCTTTTTGGACGTCCTACCTGCTTACAGACCAAACTGAACAACATGTATGTTCCCGATTGGGGCAGGGGTGACCATTGTTGGCTACAGTGAAAATCCTTGTGTTACCTAAAAAGCAGCGATGTGCATGTGCAGTGAGTGGGCTTGTCGGATAACCAACATATATATATATATATATATATATATATATATATATATAG